CGATAGGATTCGGACTGACGTCTGCATTCGGTTCCACCTTGTTCCCGTGTTCCACAGACAACTTCTTAACAACTGAAGCGACACCGCTGTGAACCAACTGGCAAAGTTTCATGTTCGAATTTCTCATACAAAATCCGTGTTTGGGTGTCGGAAATGACACCACGGTTCTCCTCACACACGGGACAGTGGCTCATCCCGTTTACCCTGTAATATATCCGTTTTAGACCAGAGGTGCACCGTCTATTTCTGGAAGCAATTGGTGGTCAACAGGTGTATGCGGCTATGAATCTGATTGTCAGACCGAGTGGAACACCAAATCCATTTGAAGCTGCCGAGAAGACGAGGTACGGTTCCTCAGTCTGATGTTGTTTGTCGGCTGGTGGGGATGGCTCGTGGGTGCTTTCATGTAGTACCGAATATGTTGTGATGGCTGGCACGGGAGACGTACCAAAGGGGAGTGCTGAGGGCGTCGCTGAAAAGAAGAGAGGGACAGCAAAATACTTTGTGAACATATACTGTTTGGCAGTGACATTAGAATTTGTCTCGTGCTTTTACAAATCGGATGGCCTTCTGACCGTGCCAGGGCCAATTTGCCCTGTTGTCTTCAGAATATGCGCATCCACTTGCAATTACTGACTTCTTATAACGGTTAGGATGTCTAGGGACGCTACACTAAAAAGACTTTTGTAAATGTATCGATCAACTTGTCTAGTGGGCATGGCTTTTGAAATTCAGTCAATATATCGCAAACTAAGATTTAATTTAGGTGAAATGAATATTAGGCTTGTATATGGGTGCAACATAAAAAACACTATTTTGCTGACTTAAAGTTATCAAGTTTATAATAGATATGGCTGATCGAATGCTAATTGTTTGCGTTTCTTAGATAAAGTGCTTTTAAGATTTTTATCGCAGTTTGCAGCAACAATAAATTAGCTTTTGACAACTTATTTTGCGTATTTTTAGTTTCGACATCGATGCCGTGATTTACCCTTAGCGGGATAATTGTTATGCACATTCAATTGCAACTTCGCAGAATGTTTATTTAACGGCGGATTGTTTGTTGTGCTGTGTTATTGGGCATTTGCAAAGTGTCCTCGCATTTATCCTGCTTGATCTTAATGTCAGCTGTTCGTAGGCCTTTGCCTCTGAATCTCGGTGAAACTCGTCGCATTCCCGGAGTTATATTACCGGTTGAAATCGGACCCAGTACTCAGCTTAGCAATCGGACCGACGTTATTATTAATGGTCAGAAAGTCACAATCGATGCAAGAGATTTGGAGGTGAAAGAAGAGTTAGGTGCGGAAGCCTTGGCATATCTTTTGATTTAGTTTTTTTGTTTTGCAATATTCTGCTTGTTTTATGTTCTGAGATTTGCTAGCTGGGAAAATTCATTAGATTTATCTCTTCACTACGCCCTTTAAGCTTTTTTGGAATCAACACTGCTGTTAGGCTTCTTTTTTGTTTTTTATGATTTTGCTGTGCTTGTTTTGGTATAAATTTTGAGTTGACGCCTCGGATTGTTAAACGTTGATCCTCGATGCTTCGTTATTTGGCCTGTTACAATGCGTTTGTGTCCTGCATTTCCCATTTAGCATCTGTTCATGCTGAATTTTGCCTTTTTTGAATAAATAATACGAACATATTTTCCTTCGTATGGAGATTTGGTTTTTTTTTCCTTTACTTAATCCTGTTATTTGCATTGTTATGTGCTCTTGGAGACACTGTACCCCGCTTCATCTCCTCAATAAAAGTTTTAGGTCAGAGTTTGCTTTTTCGTTATATCCATCGTATTACAGCTATATATCCGGCTAGGACTCATTTAAATGTGTCATTGGCTGGTGCGTTGTGGTTTTCGAAAGTTGTGGTGTGTTGCGTGGCATGCTGTGTACGAATGCTTTTGGTGCTACTTACCGTCATCTTCGTGCTGACAGGAATTCTGAGCTCCGTTCTTTTGCATTAGGCTTTCAACTTCGATGTCATAGCATCAAAAATGTGCTATAAACTTTCTTTTCCTGCCTTCATTGTGTTGGGCATTTGTTGCATTTTTTTGCGTGCTTACGAACAGGAAAATCAGTTCTACTAAGAGGGGTATTTCCAATGTAATTTTTGATGTCGCCAAATCTCAATGCAGTGTTTGGGATTATTTTTTCCCCCTTGGCGCAGTTCTTATAACCGGCACTAAGCCTTCCTGCACTTTTTCAGCTGTCCGAATATCCTCTTTATTGAGAATTTTACAGCTGTTCTAGCTTTGAAGAAAGTTTGTTTTATGTTTTCACAGGTAAACTTTAATTTTAAGTCATTTAATCATATTTGTGTTTGTGCACGTTATCTCTCCGGTGTTCACATTGAGTTTTTCTGGTCCTCTGTTCATGCTATCACTAGTATCTTAAGTGTTCTGGATAACAAAGTTTTCAAGCTTTTGATCCTCAGTGGCTCCGAAATACGTGCTGGAATTATCGAGATGCCATCGCGTTTCTGGAGTGTGCTCCACTTCTAGTAGCTAACGAATGTTTTGGTTCAGCCCTGTTCCTTGCAATGATTGTTAGATGTTTAAGGGACTGATTTACTACCATGGTTCCTGTGTTTCGTTGAATGTTGCATTCCTTTTCGTTGCATTGATTAGTATCGATATTTTATTTCCAATTTATAAATTTTGATTTCTGTCTCTGCATATTATCCAGTATTGGTTCTACGGTCTTCCTACTAGTTTTGTTCAAATAGGGAAGTATCTTTATTCTAATGGCCTGCTGAATCACTCAATCTTATAGTTTTGCGTGGTTTTACTTCACTTTAGAAACTTTGATAGGGCTGCCCAATCCCTTGTTCATCATGGCTCTGACCATCTCATTTTCATTAAGCAGGATTTTATCTGTTCATTGAAGGTCGAGGGGAGTACGCGCGCGTTCATCGGATGTACCACGCGCCGAGTAAGTGCGAATTTGCAGTAAAAAGACTGCCATTTGAAGTGGAAACTTCAGACCGCTCACGTATTCTTAACGATTGGAATGTGAGCATGCGCACCAGCACTTGCCCTTACGCTGTCCTCTCCTACGGCGCCCTATCCGTCGGCTGCGAGTTTTGGGTGGTCATGGAGCTCATGGATGATTCCCTAGATAAATTCCTTCACAAGGTAACTATACCTTGGTTTTTTTCATGTAGCTGCCTGATGTTAGTAGTTGCATAAAGCATAATCAAAACCCACCTTTTCTAATTTTCAGCAAGCCCTCTTGCTCTATTTGCTAGAGTGGGAGGCATTTCGAGTAATTGATCCCTTCGTCCATATCTGAATTCCTTAAGATCTAATCATTTATAGGTCCCCTGTTCTCATAAAGGAGCTTCTAAACCTTTAAGCGACACATTACGTTGCATAATTCAACTTTGTACTTTGGGTCCCGAAAAAAGCTCTAGTTCTTGACTGGAAATAACTTCCTTAGATTTTGCCGTTGAGAATGTACATAAGAATCCTATTCTAAGGCCGTTTGGCATAGCATCAACAGTGTGTCCTAATATGCTCTCCAGTTGAAATGCTGTAGATCAAACGTAAGTAATTCTCTTTAATGCATGTCCCAATCCTTTTGAAAACTTCCGTAGAACGAATCGTCCCTCCTGGGTCGGTCCTTTTATTGCCGAGGCTTCTTTTTGGACAGATGCTTTTGCAAAACAAGCTCTGTTGCCTGCTTCACTTCCAGGAGGTTTGTGAAAACTCAAGACCGGATTTTATCTGCGGTAAAGATCGGTGTCACAGAAAAGGAGTAACCTTCAGAACCTAATAAATGGTGTGCTTAATCAGGGATTACTCCGTTCAAATCCGAATATAGTTTTTTGCTAGAATAAGAACAATAATAGAATAATAGAATAAGAATAAAATAGGAATGGGTCTTCCTTCGTCATCGCTCCTTTTTTTTATTTTTAACTCGAATCCGAGCAAGATCGTCGTCTATTACATTTTTGACGTGTTTTTTTACCAAAACGCAGTGCTGCCCATATCATTGCGAAAAATATTGACTTAGATACTCTTTTATTTTCTTTTTGGAGGTTTCAGCACTTGGTGTCAATGCCCATCTGCGGTGAAATATTTTCGCTAGCTAGGTTGTGCATATTCTTAGTAAAATTTCCCAACTCGAATTTGCAGAATTGCCATAAAGAGACATATAGTAAAATGAGCCTCAACCAAATGCGTTGGTGATTTTGTAGAAAAAAATCAGGCTGTATGTTAAAGTAGTGCCCGATGCCATTTGAGGGAGCAGGATAAGCAATTAATGACTCCTTAAATTATCGTTTTTCCATAAACATATTGGTGCCTTTCGGTGTTATAAATACCATACATCTCCAGCTTTTACTGTCTTTCAGTTACTAAATCAGTTCTGCGATATTTGCTTACCAGAAGACGAGTTCCCTCTTGCTCTTGATATGACAAATGGTCATGTCTTTGTCGGACTCTTGACCACTTCTTTTGCGCTTTAGACTGGAGTTTATGTGTACACCTTTAAGGAAAGTAAGGTTTTGCACAAAATTTATGTCCGAATTTCAATAGCAAGTAAAGAGCAAGATCCTTCCACTGCAATCGATACAGTGGAAAGGGTAAAATCGCCCTGACGCAAAGCACTGTCAAAATGCTTTTAATTGAATGACATGGAAAGCTTTTGAAAGACGATAAATATGTTTCACTGTATGATATCTTCCAAAATTCATT